AAAAAAAGGAGCCGAAATTTAAACCCAGGCGTCACTGCCCGGGTAAAAAGTATTATTGAAAGCTCGTGTTACAACTGCCCGCACCTGCTTGTATCTGTAAAGCTTGGAAACAGCGCATGCCCAACTACATTTGTCTAGGGTGGGCCTTAAAATATTTACTAAATGATATTTTTTTGCCGAGCGAGAAAAACTGGAAATTCGTCATAATAAGAAAAATTTTAACAAACGTAGGACCAACCAGAAATAGTTTCCCGACTGACAAACGTTTTTTTATTCTAAAACTCGAGTTTAAGGTTAATCAGGTTGAGCAAAAAAATTACGATCAAAGACCTCGATTTTAAACAAAAAAGAACAAACGGCTACCCAGTGGGGTCGACTAGGCAAGTTAGTCATGTGTTACCAAGGGAATTATTTTTTCTGTTCAGAAATTGTCTTGATTAGACTTGAGACGTAAAATGTTTTCGAAATTGCGCACGGAAACTTAAACAACGCTCATAAAAACGTACAGACACGTTCTAAAATCTTCAAACCTAACACACACAATGTCGATAGCACAGGGACAAATACCGCAAAAATCTGGCTTTCCTTGTACTCTACGCGCTGTATTAGGCTCGCATGGTATTGTGGTAAAAGTACAGCCTCCACCTTTTTTCCTACGGGGGATTGCGCTCAATCATCTATTGTTTAGTGGTAATAACCAGTTTCAAAGTAACAATAGATTAATTGATTGAAATAAATTGAAAAATACCAACCCATCTTTCACATACCTTTATTTACAGACTCTGACGTTAGAAAGATTTCAGATTGACATATAAGCTTGTGTGCTCGTACAATGCTTAATCATGAAATGTTTCTCTCATAAAACAATAAAGTATTACTAACTGGTTATGATGTAAAATAACCACTTTCCACATTAGATCAAGATTTTTTGGTTCTTAGTTTTCACCTTCCCGGTACAATGTTGACAATCGTTTCTTTTCAAATAGCCAATTCAGGGATGACAGCACAATATTCATCGAGGAATTTAATTATTTTATCAATAACCAGTTTAGTTAAAATTATATCGGTGTAAATGGTCTTGGAAAGTACGTAAGAAATATTTTCCGCCAAATTTTTTGTAAATAATATCCCTCTGTTTCGACTTTCCGTCAACATTAACTAAAATATCTGTTTAAAATAGATTCTTAGACTGCATGGAAGAATATTTAAAATGTGATATTGTTATTTAGGTGTGTAAACACTTCAAACCCGCCCAATCCTCACTCAGAAAGTTGGCTGAATTTTCCCGCGAACGTTTTATCTTAAACATCACGCGACATGGTAAAACGAAATGTATCGTCATTTCGCTGGTCTGTTTCTTTTTTTTTCCCGTCGTATAAAAACGCCAAGTTTACAATGATCGAAGCCTACCCTAAATTAACTTTAAGAATTCTGCCAATACTTTGTTAACATTGATTGGTCGTTTTGTAAGGCGTTACGCGAAACAAATTGAAAAGTCAGACGACAGGAGTCTTCAATGTGGATATTTTTCAAATGTTTCTCCTTGGCTTTGAAAACATGAACCGTTCTTCCGGAACACACGAGTCGCCAAGTAGTACAGTGGACTACGGTCTCTTAAAATTAATTAGGGACATTAAGCAGTCGCGTCTGCGACGGCAGGAAAGACGCCTAGCAAAAAACCAATTTTTATTTTATGTTCGAATTTCGTAATTATACAACTTAACCTGTTCAGGACGCCAAACCGTTTAAAAATGAGCTAAAACTAAATACGTAATGCCAGCGATCAATTCCAAAAAAATAAACTAAAAATTTTCCGTCGTGGCCTACGTTCTGCAAAATACACAGAACTTGGTCATTTCAAGTTGTTGTCATTTTGCAGAAGACGCCTACGAAATGTACAAAGATTTCAAAGATTCGACACCATAGCTACAGACGGAGATTGTTGTGATGAAAGAAGAAAGCCCTTGTCAGTCAACCGAAACGCAAACTAATAAGTCGAGGACTCCCAGGTTATTAGCGTGCGTAAAATGGACATTTCATTTGAAATAACAGTGAAGTAGAAATGTATTCATTTAACTGAAAGTATACTGAACCTCTTTTCAAGATCTTGTCGAAGGATTTTCCATGATTTCACTAGTACGGAATATTCAAATTTGCGTAGCTTGTGTTCGTGCACAGTAATTGAATACGCATATACTACGGTCGGTCGACAATAACGAAGCGAAAAGTTACCTCACCTTCGA